ACTAATGACTAATAGTCCTCCCTCACAAAGGTCATGTGAAAGCCCTGTTATACCGATTGAATACAACGTTAGCGTGCACTGGTCGAACGAATGGACTAAACATCACCAGCATTGATCCTTTAATCGAAAATATGTGTAAATTACGTGTGCATGAACGATTCACGATCGACGCGATGTTTGATGATTGTGTTTTGATAAGAGGTTTGTGCTTTCTAAACCTTCCATCGATACAGCATCAGCCGAGGACATTCCGATTTTGCACTCAGAAAGTCGCCTGGTCAGACGAGTTTGAGACTATTTCTATAACATTGATTAAGTTTCCTTTACATGTTAATAATTTCACCGTCGTAACATCATTTTCCTATTAATGTGCCCTTTAGTTAAACAAAACGTTCGTACTAGAATAAAGTATAACAGAACGCTGTTGGTTTGTCTTCAAAGACTGTTCACTGTGAGATTTTCCTTAAAACCGTTTTTGCTAAATAAAAAAAAAACTTTTTTTCAGTCTTGCAGGTGAACGATTGTTTGTGCTTTATTGTCTACAAACATTTCCTTTATTCTGAGAACATCTTGAGATGCATCTTTATATATCTCAAGAATCCCATCACATCAGTGTTTTCGCTACATCAGTTGTATATGTATATATCAGATCGCCACTGGTTTGGAGAACAGACCACTCAATAACCGACACTGTAAGGGGAAGAGCAAAACAGATCGTCAGGGTGAAGAGTAACACTAAACGTCGTCATCTCATTGGTGACGTCATCGTTATGACATCACACTCATCACTTTGGATACAACTGTCCTTTGCTGGTGGATGTCTGTTCTATTCTTTCAGAAAACATGCATCATGCACTGGATATTCATCGGAAAGTATGTTTTCCCTCTAGTTGAAATATAACAGGTATTCGCCAGGAAGCACAAACTATTTATTTGAATAACACAACAAATCGTTAAATATTGCTTCGGCTGACCATTTTCTAATGAATTAACCATCAACTCGCGCCCTTTATCAGCATGTCGCAATCATTTGATTATTGTTATTCCCGACAAGAGTTCTCCTTGATTGATCAATGTGGGGAAATGAGAAGTGCTAGAAGAGTTTGTAGTTTAAACAAAAACAACTATATTGACTATTATGCATGCAAGATATTTCTTTTTATTTCAAATTAAGGAATAAATTAGAAATATCTATGTATATAAATATATATGTTATATAAATTTATGATGTCAGAACGGTTAAAATGATTGGATATTGTTTTTAGGATCAAAGTAATAGTGTTACGTTGAGTCATGATTAATATCCTTACCCAAATCAATAGACAAACCAAACATTCAAACAAACTGGCAATAGTTAATTTGATGTCTATTGGGCGTTGATACATTATTACATACTCCCTGCTCACTTGTAATTTATGTACAGCTGAGCAGTATAAATCATGTTCTGTTATGCAATTGGTATTGACCAAATCAGTGAAATGAAACTGATTATTCAGATAACATAATTGACAATTACAGTTTTGCTTTTTCGACATTTTTCAACTAATAATTAAAGAGTTAATGCAGCATTAATGAAATTGTTTTGTTGAATTAAATAATTCTAATGCCATTTAAATCTTTTCAGAAGATAAATCACTAAAAATGTAGTCATGAGATTCCTTTTAGGAGGATTTTATTTGTTGACGTCACTAACATTTTACGTCAATATTGTGAGAGGAACGTCAACAACCCAACGCTTCAAAGAAGTCACGTTGAATTTAGGACTTGGTTTGGCAAATTTTATGGTCGCCACCATGGTTTCGCAAGGAAATATGTGTTGTTGTTTTGTGTGGTATGTATTATGCTCAATAGTGAGCCTTGTGGTCTTACTGTCGCTATCCGAGTTCTCAGTGTGGGGGCGTGCCATTATATGGGTGGAATAAGATTTACATGGCGGAGAGTCGTCGGTGAAGCAGAAGACGTTTAACCTTCTGGAACACCTGGTCTTATTTTTCTATGTAATTTTTTTCAAGGGTCTATATGTAAATATTTTTCTGTGTTCATATTTTGCCCTCGTATTATCAATTTCGAGTTATGGTTCTGTTGACTCGTCAGTATATTTTTGGTGTTTATTGCCATGCTCATTATTGTGACGTCAAAAGGACAGAAAATGTACTATCAAGGATATGTGATTTTACTACTCTTAGTTTCATGTTTATTCATTAAAGTTTAACCCATAGTGGTACCTCAGTTCCTGCTCCAATATATAACCCCCTTGAGTTGAATATCTGTGTTCTCGATACACACAAATAAAAGAGTCTATTAAAATGAACATGTTGACGTGACATATCACGCGCTTTTGGTTTTATTGTCACAGATGCCGATACATTCAAACTGTGCACCCATAAAACACGAAATGCTTTACACAAATTACGAAACACTCGTCAGTTACTCCCGTTGCGTTGTTCATCTGATGCTTTTGTTCCTGACTCTAACACGCGAAAAAACAAAGAGCTGTGGTGTAAAACGTGTCAGTTATTTCATAGTGATGGTTGTCAATGATGATTCCCTTTCTCCCAGACATAGTTCTTTATTACACACCCACAAAATAAGCTCACACCAACACACTGACACATAACATGCCCCCTCCCAAAGACCAACAAACTGACACATCACCTACCCCCTTCCCAACACCAACACACTAACACATCACATACCCCATACCCAACACCACACACCCTCACAGCACATGCCCCCTTCCCAACACCCATTCATCACCAACAATCAACATCCCACTCCCCCATACTGAATAACCGACATATCAAATGCCCCTCCCCAACACCCACACATACACAAATCACACACACACCCTACCACCCCCAACCCCCATTCTGAAATACCAACATAGCAGATGTCCCCTCCCCAACACCCACACATACACATATCACACACACACCCTACCACCCCCAACCCCCATTCTGAAATACCAACATAGCACATGTCCCCTCCTCACGCAGAAACAGAGATCAGCTCATGCATTTCATCATACACAAACACATTCTATCCTACATGATATACCCAAACTGTCACCCCCCTGTTATATCCTTAACCATACAGGGTCAAGCAATTAAGACATAGAAACTTCACAGTGTCCAGTTTTCGCTTAGGCCGCAACAATTAAACCAGATACCGTATACCAATGTTGTAAATGAAATGAAGGATTGAGTTGCAAGTCGTACCAAAATGAACAGTTCCATATATGTATGCAGCACGTCATGATGACAAACCCAATTTGTAGATCCTTGACTAGCTCTGACCCTGTTTGGCAGGTGCCTACTCAAGTACACAAGGCCCACCACACTTCCTGGTAAATACCATGGACGCCGCCTTTCTGTTGGATCCAACTCTTACGTTTGCCATGAAAAATCAATAATGCCATCTCCTTATGATTTGAGCAAATAGATCAGCTTCAATCATATATCCTTTAAAAAGGTGATCCGGGATGATGTTAATGCAATCTTTGCCGACAGGGGCTGGACTGGGGGAGAAGTGGTGACGGCCTCACTTTCCGGATCAATATCCTTATGTTGGTTAACGCTTTTTGTTGTTTTCATGATTACATTTCTCTGGAGAAGGTTTGGCTTCCTGGTGATTTGTCTCCGGTTTATGGGCCTCTGAGGGTCTTCTTTGTATCCCGACTTCAGACAAGTTGGTCTCTGGTTAATGTCACAACGTGGCACATAAGACAATTAGGTGCCAGGATCACGAGGTCCGTCTGTCGGATTTATAATACAAAAAACTAGAAAGCAAAATGGTTTTAAAAAATGTCCGAACATTATAGTGTAGATAATACATCGTTTTATTGTCTAATATGATTGTGTCACAATCAGTGTTGAATGACTGTAGCGGTAATATATTTACCCCAACATTAACGTTTTATTGTTATACTGTTTTCTGACATGGTTATAGTGTTGTTCATCATACATTCTGGATGAGCCAGAAAGATACATACCAGCTACCACAAGTGGTGTAGCCTTAGCGGGCCTTGTCAAATCTGATCTTGTGGAATTTCTTTTCATTTTTGGTTGCCGTTGTGATATTCTTTGGTTTCGTATGTTGATGCCTTACTATTGAACGTCCATTTATGTTGATGCTATGGTAAAGTTAGTGTTGAGTCTGTGGTGGATTGTGGGCTTGTGTTTTAGCCTTGTGTGTTGATGTTGTAGTATTCTTCCGTTTTTCTCTGAGCTAGTGCGTTGAATTAATTTCCTCCTGAAACAGTGATGATTGGAGTGTTATACGAATTAGATGATGTTCGTATAATTAAATTTGAACAGATATATTAAAACATCACGATAGTTTTGCTAAATATGATAAAATAACAGCAATACAAATCAGCGCGCAGAAGTAAAACAAAAACAAATACCAGCGTCAATAACTATACCATCAGAATTCAGAAGTCGACAGACAATATGCCAACAACAGGCATTATGGAAACACCATACATATATACATCAAGATTAATGCTATTCTTTCAATGTCAAAGAAGTTTTGAACTTCCATAGATACAATTAGTGAGAGAAATTGCAATTAAAAAATAATAAATAGGACTGACCCTGTGAAAATCAGCTGTCTTAAAGCTGACATATACCTTCTTTGCACACATTCATTTTTGAAAAAAGTAAATTAAAAATCCACTGGAAATGTTCCTGAGTATCTGTATTATTTTCTTCTTGCAAATTAAACAAAAAAATCGACCAGTAAAACAGTGAACATGCGGCCAACATCCTCCTCCATGGATTAATAACTGGAATCAGTATATTGAAGATTTGATTATTTTAAAATCAGTCCTCGTTCATAAGATTCGGAAAAAAATCACCGACTTACCAACTATATTAGATGTGATGTAATTTAAGCGTAAGAAATTATATATGCAATTTGGAGAAAAGTTTTAAGAGAAGAAATTTCTGCTAGGAAGACGAGTGAAAATTCGAAATTCTCGTTTTGAGGTTTTGACGAAAATGGCTCTAGAAACTCTAAAATGGTAAGAATTAGCACATATTTCGAAAAATATAGGAGTGCTTACAATTATGCTGTAAAATCCTTTGTCAGCAGGAACAGATTTTTTTTTTTAGATTAACAATTTATCCACCCTAGCATTAGAATGTTCTCGCCACACCCATTCCCAGTTGACGGATGGTGATACTCGCTAGCTTGGCCTTTGGTAAATACTGAGGTCAACCATATGACCGTATGGAAGTAAACGAAGACAAGAAGAATTGGTTGGAGTGGTTCTTAATTGATCTAACAAAGTTGCTGCAGGGTTCGTTCAGGTATCTAGCAAACGTTTACTTCATTAAATGATTAATTCACTATAATTTTTACATTAACCAGCAGGTTGTACCAAGTAACTTGTCCGTTTATTGTCATTGTTAAACATAAGTCCTGTGATCTAAATGGAAATCAGAAAGGGGGAATGGCCCTTGTCATTTAAGTCACGTGCTGAATTTTCCAGAAAGTGTTAAATTATTAAAGCACGCGTTAAACGTTCGTGAAACATTGTATCATACCAAAAGTGTGTAAACGTAACAGATCACCATCATCTTTATTTCAAATTTAGGACAGTAGTTAATATTTTTTATTTTAAAAGATATTGTCGTTATATTCAAAACTGAAATTGGATGACTAGAGAGGGCATAGTTTGTTCGGACTAGAGAGGGCATTGTGTCAGAGTCCACCAGTCGGGACAGAGAGTCCACCAGTCGGAACAGAGAGTCAACCAGTCGGAACAGACAGTCCAACAGTCGGAATAGAGGGTCCACCAGTCGGAACAGAGAGTCCACCAGTCGGAACCGAGAGTCCAACAGTCGGAACAGAGAGTCCACCAGTCGGAACCGAGGGTCCATCAGTCGGAACAGAGAGTCAACCAGTCGGAACAGAGCGTCCACCAGTCGGAACAGAGAGTCCACAAGTCGGAACAGAGAGTACAACAGTCGGAACAAAGAGTCCACCAGGCGGAACCGAGGGTCCATCAGTCGGCACAGAGAGTCAACCAGTCGCAACAGAGCGTCCACCAGTCCGAACAGAGAGTCCAACAGTACCAGTCGGAACCGAGAGTGCAACAGTCGGAACAGAGAGTGCACCAGTCGGAACAGAGAGACCACCAGTCGGAACAGAGAGCCCACCAGTCGGAACAGAAAGTCCACCAGTCGGGACAGCGAGTCCACCAGTCGGAACAAAGAGTCCACCAGGCGGAACCGAGAGTCCAACAGTCGGAACAGAGGGTCCACCAGGCGGAACAGAGAGTCCACGAGTCGGAACAGAGGGGCCACAAGTCGGAACAGAGAGTGCACCAGTCGGAACAGAGAGTACAACAGTCGGAACAAAGAGTCCACCAGGCGGAACCGAGAGTCCAACAGTCGGAACAGAGGGGTCACCAGTCGGAACAGAGGGGCCACAAGTCGGAACAGAGAGTCCACCAGTCGGAACAGAGGGTCCACAAGTCGGAACAGAGAGTCCACAAGTCGGAAAAGAGGATCCACCAGTTGGAACAGAGAGTCCACCAGTCGGAACAGAGAGTCCACCAGTCGGAACAGAGAGTCCAACAGTCGGAACAGAGAGTCCAACAGTCGGAACAGAGAGTCCAACAGTCGGAACAGAGGGTTCACCAGTCGGAACAGAGGGTCCACCAGTCGGAACAGAGGGTCCACCAGTCGGAACCGAGAGGCCTACAGTCGGAACAGAGGGTCCACCAGTCGGAACCGAGAGGCCTACAGTCGGAACAGAGGGTCCACCAGTCGGAACAGAGAGTCCATCAGCCGGAACAGAGGGTCCACCAGGCGGAACAGAGAGTCCACCAGTCGGAACAGAGCGTCCACCAGTCGGAACAGAGGGTCCACCAGTCGGAACCGAGAGTCCTACAGTCGGAACAGAGGGTCCACCAGTCGGAACAGAGAGTTCAACAGTCGGAACAGAGAGTCCACCAGTCGGAACAGAGGGTCCACCAGTCGGAACAGAGAGTCCACCAGTAGGAACAGAGAGTCCACCAGTCGGGACAGAGAGTCCAACAGTCGGAACAGAGAGTCCACCAGTCGGAACAGAGGGTCCACCAGTCGAAACAGAAAGTCCACCAGTCGGAACAGAGAGTCCAACAGTCGGAACAGAGAGTCCACCAGTCGGAAAAGAGAGTCCAACAGTCGGAACAGAGGGTTCACCAGTCGGAACAGAGGGTCCACCAGTCGGAACAGAGAGTCCAACAGTCGGAACAGAGGATCCACCAGTCGGAACAGAGGGTCCACCAGTCGGAACCGAGAGTCCAACAGTCGGAACCGAGAGTCCAACAGTCGGAACAGAGAGTCCACCAGTCGGAACAGAGAGTGCAACAGTCGGAACAGAGAGTCCACCAGTCGGAACAGAGAGTCCACCAGTAGGAACAGAGAGTCAAACAGTCGGAACAGAGAGTCCAACAGTCGGAACAGAGAGTCCACCAGTCGGAACAGAGAGTCCAACAGTCGGAACAGAGGGTTCACCAGTCGGAACAGAGGGTCCACCAGTCGGAACAGAGAGTCCAACAGTCGGAACATAGGGTCCACCAGTCGGAACTGAGAGTCCAACAGTCGGAACCGAGAGTCCAACAGTCGGAACAGAGAGTCCACCAGTCGGAACAGAGAGTGCATCAGTCGGAACACAGGGTCCACCAGTCGGAACAGAGAGTCCAACAGTCGGAACAGAGAGTCCACCTGTCGGAACAGAGAGTCCACCAGTCGGAATAGAGAGTCCACCAGTCGGATAAGAAATCCAGACGATGTAACAGTTTACTACATCATTTGGCTATTTAACCTTACGGCGTATAAAATTAACCGAATTGGATCTCGCCATCGTGTTGTCTGCCGCTATAATGAATTGTAAGGTGAGTGTAAAAGAAAGGTCCGGCATTTCACTGTCGTTTACCAATATATGAAATTGTAAATGATTAAAAAATGGTCTTGTATTTCATTTGTCGCTTGCCATTATAAGGAATTGTAAATGTATACCAAAAGGTGTTATATTTCTTTTTTCGTTTGTCATTATAATAAATTGTACATCTGTAAGTGTATAACAAAAGGTCTTGTATTTCATGTGTCGTCTGTCATTATAAGGAATTGTAAGTGTATAAGAAAGATCGATAATTCGTATGTGTGGTCTGTCATTATAAGGAATTGCAAGCGTATAAGACAGATAGATAATTCGTTTATGCTGTCTGTCATTATAAGGAATTGTAAGTGTATAAGAAAGATCGATAATTCGTATGTGTGGTCTGTCATTATGAGGAATTGTAAGTGTATAAGAAAGATCGATAATTCGTATGTGTGGTCTGTCATTATGAGGAATTGTAAGTGTATAAGAAAGATCGATAATTCGTTTATGTCGTCTGTCATAATAAGGAATTGTAAGTGTATAAGAAAGAGAGATAATTCGTATGTGTGGTCTGTCATTATAAGGAATTGTAAGTGTATAAGAAAGATCGATAATTCGTATGTGTGGTCTGTCATTATGAGGAATTGTAAGTGTATAAGAAAGATCGATAATTCGTTTGTGTCGTTTACCATTATAAGGAATTGTAAGTGTATAAGAAATAAAGATAATTCGTATGTGTCGCCTGTCATTATAAGGAATTGTAAGTGTATAAGATAGATAGATAATTCGTATGTGTCGTTTACCATTATAAGGAATTGTAAGTGTATAAGGAAGAAAGATAATTCGTATGTGTCGCCTGTCATTATAAGGAATTGTAAGTGTATAAGAAAGAGAGATAATTCGTATGTGTGGTCTGTCATTATAAGGAATTGTAAGTGTATAAGATAGATAGATAATTCGTATGTGTAGTTTACCATTATAAGGAATTGTAAGTGTATAAGAAATAAAGATAATTCGTATGTGTCGCCTGTCATTATAAGGAATTGTAAGTGTATAAGAAAGATCGATAATTCGTATGTGTGGTCTGTCATTATGAGGAATTGTAAGTGTATAAGAAAGATCGATAATTCGTATGTGTGGTCTGTCATTATAAGGAATTGTAAGTGTATAAGAAAGAAAGATAATTCGTATGTGTCGTCTTTCATTATAAGGAATTGTAAGCGTATAAGAAAGATCGAAAATTCGTTTATGCTGTCTGTCATTATAAGGAATTGTAATCGTATAAGAAAGCGAGATAATTCGTTTATGTTGTCTGTCATTATAAGGAATTGTAAGTGTATAAGAAAGAGAGACAATTCGTTTATGTTGTCTGTCATTATAAGGAATTGTAAGTGTATAAGAAAGATCGATAATTCGTTTATGTCGTCTGTCATAATAAGGAATTGTAAGTGTATAAGAAAGAGAGATAATTCGTATTTGTCGTCTGTCATTATAAGGAATTGTAAGTGTATAAGAAAGAGAGATAATTCGTATGTGTGGTCTGTCATTATAAGGAATTGTAAGTGTATAAGAAAGATCGATAATTCGTATGTGTGGTCTGTCATTATGAGGAATTGTAAGTGTATAAGAAAGATCGATAATTCGTATGTGTGGTCTGTCATTATGAGGAATTGTAAGTGTATAAGAAAGATCGATAATTCGTATGTGTGGTCTGTCATTATGAGGAATTGTAAGTGTATAAGAAAGATCGATAATTCGTATGTGTCGCCTGTCATTATAAGGAATTGTAAGTGTATAAGAAAGATAGATAATTCGTGTATGTCGTCTGTCATTATAAGGAATTGTAAGTGTATAAGATAGATAGATAATTCGTATGTGTCGTGTGTCATTATAAGAAATTGTAAGGGTATAAGAAAGATCGATAATTCGTTTATGCTGTCTGTCATTATAAGGAATTGTAAGCGTATAAGAAAGATCGATAATTCGTATGTGCCGTCTGTCATTATAAGGAATTGTAAGTGTATAAGAAAGATCGATAATTCGTATGTGTGGTCTGTCATTATGAGGAATTGTAAGTGTATAAGAAAGATCGATAATTCGTATGTGTGGTCTGTCATTATGAGGAATTGTAAGTGTATAAGAAAGATCGATAATTCGTATGTGTCGTTTACCATTATAAGGAATTGTAAGTGTATAAGAAAGAAAGATAATTCGTATGTGTCGCCTGTCATTATAAGGAATTGTAAGTGTATAAGATAGATAGATAATTCGTATGTGTCGTTTACCATTATAAGGAATTGTAAGTGTATAAGAAAGAAAGATAATTCGTATGTGTCGCCTGTCATTATAAGGAATTGTAAGTGTATAAGAAAGAGAGACAATTCGTTTATGGTGTCTGTCATTATAAGGAATTGTAAGTGTATAAGAAAGATAGATAATTCGTATGTGTCGTCTGTCATTATAAGGAATTGTAAGTGTATAAGAAAGAGAGACAATTCGTTTATGGTGTCTGTCATTATAAGGAATTGTAAGTGTATAAGAAAGATCGATAATTCGTATGTGTCGCCTGTCATTATAAGGCATTGTAAGTGTATAAGAAAGATCGATGATTCGTTTGTGTCGTCTGTCATTATAAGGAATTGTAAGTGTATAAGAAAGATCGATAATTCGTATGTGTCGTCTGTCATTATAAGGAATTGGAAAGTGTATAAGAAAGATCGATAATTCGTATGTGTCTCCTGTCATTATAAGGCATTGTAAGTCTATAAGAAAGATCGATGATTCGTTTGTGTCGTCTGTCATTACAAGGAATTGTAAGTTTATAAGAAAGATCGATAATTCGTATGTGTCGTCTGTCATTATAAGGTACTATATGGTTATAAAGAACCAGCGTGCTTTTTTTGAGTCGATATGCCGCTGATGTCCTCTGTCATTATAAAGAATAGTAAGTATATAATAAAGAGTTCAGTCTGCCCGTTGTGTCATCTACCGTTTCAGGGAATGGTAAGTGCAGAATAAATCATCCATGTTTCTATTGGCGTCCGAGATATCAAACTAGCCGTAACCAGACCAAGTGTTAAAGATCAATGAGTTGGACTATACTCCAGCCATAATGATTGGCCCTTGATGCATGTTCTAGGGGCTCAAACCACGCCACCTGAAAAGGTTAAAGTCTCAGACATCCATTAGGACAATCCCGGGTAATTGATTTCCGCTCCTAGTCCATGGCTGTACAGAGGAAATTTGATGCATCTGCGCGTTACAAAGGAAGCGGTGAAGCCAACCAGTCTCATTCAATGGTCATCTTCATGTTGACCCGTGATTAAAACTGGTGTGGGGAGTCAAGAAATAGCACATGTAGCAAAGAAATTGTGTTTCTTTGTAAGAATAAATGAAATACTAAACAAAATGCCGGTTTCCAAAAATACCTGCGATCAAAAATATATCAAAACATAACGGGAATGTGCTCGTGGCATGGCGGAGCAGACGACAGTTAAATCTGATTGAAATTACCGACAGGCTTCACTGTGGTGCGGCAGCTGAATGACGTGTCTTATCCGGGTACTTCAGTGCGTGTTGTCTCAAGTACATCATCAACCTTTTACAGACAATTGACAATGATCAAGTCTACAAAATAATTAAAAAGGCAAAACGTATTATATAGATCTTATTTTGCTATAAATTGCTATTTTGTGTGGGGTTTGTAGGATTTCAATTCGTACATGACGCTTTCCTTTTGTTTCGGAATTTCATCGGTTTCAGTTGTCTATTAGTATTGGCCACGCTTGTCTATATCCAAGTGTACAGTGACATGAAGCGCTCTACTTCTCGTGCAAGACACCGTAGTTGATTAAACTAAACCGGACACAGGAAACAGTTGTGTAGGTATATCATCTATAAGGCATTCGTCAGAATTATCGTTCTGTCTATGAATAGAGCTCTACAATCAAACGATGGTGAATACTTCCTGCAGCAGAAAATTGAATCTTCTGCGATGTGTCGCTAGTCTGTCTTCGGGATAGTTTAACATTGTGGTCATGTGTTGTTAATTTGTATCTCAGACAGCGTTTCCCAGTGTTGACCCCTGCGCCGTATCAGTACACTGTAAACTATCTCAGACAGCGTTTCCCAGCGTTGACCCCTGTGTCGTATCAGTACACTGTAAACTATCTCAGACAGCGTTTCCCAGTACGTGTTGACCCCTGCGCCGTATCAGTACACTGTAAACTATCTCAGACAGCGTTTCCCAGTATTGACCCCTGTGTCGTATCAGTACACTGTAAACTATCTCAGACAGCGTTTCCCAGTATTGACCCCTGTGTCGTATCAGTACACTGTAAACTATCTCAGACAGCGTTTCCCAGTGTTGACCCCTGTGTCGTATCAGTACACTGTAAACTATCTCAGACAGCGTTTCCCAGTGTTGACCACTGTGTCGTATCAGTACACTGTAACCTATCTCAGACAGCGTTTCCCAGTGTTGACCCCTGTGTCGTATCAGTACACTGTAAGCTATCTCAGACAGCGTTTCCCAGTGTTGACCCCTGTGTCGTATCAGTACACTGTAAACTATCTCAGACAGCGTTTCCCAGTGTTGACCCCTGTGTCGTATCAGTACACTGTAAACTATCTCAGACAGCGTTTCCCAGTGTTGACCCCTGTGTCGTATCAGTACACTGTAAACTATCTCAGACAGCGTTTCCCAGTGTTGACCCCTGTGTCGTATCAGTACACTGTAAACTATCTCAGACAGCGTTTCCCAGTGTTGACCCCTGTGTCGTATCAGTACACTGTAAACTATCTCAGACAGCGTTTCCCAGTGTTGACCCCTGTGTCGTATCAGTACACTGTAAACTATCTCAGACAGCGTTTCCCAGTGTTGACCCCTGTGTCGTATCAGTACACTGTAAACTATCTCAGACAGCGTTTCCCAGTGTTGACCCCTGTGTCGTATCAGTACACTGTAAACTATCTCAGACAGCGTTTCCCAGTGTTGACCCCTGTGTCGTATCAGTACACTGTAAACTATCTCAGACAGCGTTTCCCAGTGTTGACCCCTGTGTCGTATCAGTACACTGTAAACTATCTCAGACAGCGTTTCCCAGTGTTGACCCCTGTGTCGTATCAGTACACTGTAAACTATCTCAGACAGCGTTTCCCAGTGTTGACCCCTGTGTCGTATCAGTACACTGTAACCTATCTCAGACAGCGTTTCCCAGTGTTGACCCCTGTGTCGTATCAGTACACTGTAACCTATCTCAGACAGCGTTTCCCAGTGTTGACCCCTGTGTCGTATCAGTACACTGTAACCTATCTCAGACAGCGTTTCCCAGTGTTGACCCCTGTGTCGTATCAGTACACTGTAACCTATCTCAGACAGCGTTTCCCAGTGTTGACCCCTGTGTCGTATCAGTACACTGTAACCTATCTCAGACAGCGTTTCCCAGTGTTGACCCCTGTGTCGTATCAGTACACTGTAAACTATCTCAGACAGCGTTTTCCAGTGTTGACCCCTGTGTCGTATCAGTACACTGTAAACTATCGCAGACAGCGTTTCCCAGTGTTGACCCCTGTGTCGTATCAGTACACCGTAAACTATCCCGTCTTTCGAAAATAGTGTTTCTTCAGTGTTGAGAAAAACACTTTTATCTTTTATCGGGATAAGTATGTTTTAATATTTGTTTCTGACGTAAACAAAAAGTTAATTTGTTCATGGAGAGAGGAAATTTAAATAAAAACAGGTGTAAATGGTATTGTTTTAAATAGATAGAGACTTTGTTTTACACTACACTGCACTAGATAAGTTTTTAACATAATAAATGAACAACAAAAAAATAAGTGTAACCCTCTAACCTTAAGCACATGACTTACCTGTTATGCATTTTCATTTACATAAATTATTCTAAGATTACCGACTTTCAAGGTTGTTGATAATGATTTAATAAGTAACCCAACTCTATTGAAATCGATTACCAAAATAGCTCAACGGTCAATAATGACAATACATTTTGGACAAGATCAACTCATCATCCAAGTTTGTATGCAGAACTTGTATTGTTAAATAAAATAAAAACAGCTAGCGATGACTTAGGATCATACATACGAAACAGCATCCGGTTATTTTGCTAGTATGGTACTAAGTACAGAATATTCATTTATGAAATGAAAAAACTTCTTCAATTTGGGACGAATTAAACGTGATGAGAAGGAAAGACCAGAAAACGTTGTCATAAAAACGCAAAGACAGCAAAATTCATCAGATTTAGATGTAAGATTGCTGTATAGAACATTAAACAGAAACGTCATAAAAATGAAACTTGTTATTTAAAGGGCGAAAGAGAGGAAATATTATATAATATACCACATCATACAATATACCAAATAAAAATAATGTGCATCAACAACGTCAATAGTAGTAATGTATCACAAACACAAATCAAATATTTTTATGAAAATATTTATTTTTTAAATCGAAAATCTGATCAAATATAAATGAAACGATAGTATAAAGAGTATGTGTTTTCTGTTACTTACAGAAATGCATGATGAATGAAAATGATTCCAAAAAGATAATACAAATATTTCCGCGACCAGGTCGACAATTTCTCCCACGTACGTACCACAGAAGATGTTACAAGTCACACCCAGGTACACAATTCTCCCATCCCACACGTACAGTGGACACCACTGATGGTGGCCCTACATACCTAACCATTAACTACGTTAATCAAGTGGTTTCTCTACAGTGAACAATGCCAAATAAAACCAATCTTTCAACACCATCAGATAAAATAAAGAAACAATAGATTTATAAATCAAAAACCTATTCAATTCTAGGACAATAGCAAATGTTCAGATGACTTGGTGTTTCAATTTCGTTTCAAAATTGCAAAATATTGATTTTCCTTGGATATAATGAAAAAGTTCCAGTGTTGTAATTCGTCCATGGTGAAATGAGTGTCAATAACACATCTCATTACAATATTGAGGCTTCGCAATATAATTTCCAATCATTCATAAACAATTAAAATATATTAGATTTTTTAACAATCAAAACATGTTTGTAAAATCACAGATACCGTCTGAAAGAAATAGATTGCAAACATAATAAATCACTACCATCTATTGTTTAATAAATATAATAACAGTGTGAGAAACAGAACCATAAACGTTTATTATCTATCGTAAACCACATTATATAACTGTACAAAAACAGCTCATATATATATATATATATGGTCATGGGTAATCTCCCATACCACTGTACAAAATTAACAATTCAAAATGGCGACATGTTCCGGTTTTTCACAGTACATATACAGTTTTACATGCATATATACATTGTACCTTAAGAACAACTGAGAAGTTGGATCGTTCACTCTGTAATCAATCGGTATCCATTAAAACAAAGTACAAATTCTAAACAGCTTTCACAGCCGCCGTTACATGCTCACACTCGCACCTGGTTAATCATCAAACTATGATTCCGGATGAAAATAATGTACAAAATGAACAATTACTCCAATCCTTGACTAGCTTTGTAATGAATAATGACCCACTGTCAAACGCCAACAGGTAAATCTCGCATACCTTCATATACACAAAACAACATATCAGTCACGACATCGCGAGAGGGATGGCATACACAGCATACAGGTTTTGTCGCGGAAAGAATTCGCGAATTTAACAGGCCCTACGCAATGAACGTAATCCATTGTCTCAGGATGTAACCAATCACCTTACTTTTCATCATGAGGGTTGTCCTTAGCCAACCAGCGAATATCGTCATCGTAATATGTGTTGTTTTCAGCCAATCATCTAACTACATGTATATCATCACTCATGCACCTATCACAACACATACTCTTCCCTCTTAAGTCATACAATACAAACCTCAGTCGTTCTCCAATCATAACACAGATAGTAGCAGCTAATTCTGATACAAAGGATTCCAACACCCAACGACTTTGTTGTAGGTGTCGTCCCCCCC